GCTCTGGATTAAAAGGATTATCTAGATCCTAGGTGTCCAACCTTTTGTTTGCCTGGATCACACTGAGTGAAGAGGAATTGTTTTGGACCATACATCAAATATAATTAATGTACATAAATAGCAAACTTCCTTTAAATGTTTTTTTTTTATATTTTGTGAGGCCACATTATTAGCTGTCAAGGACCACGTGCAGCCTGTGGGTCAGACACATCTGATCTAGACTCTTTTCAGCTGGGATTTAAGCTTGTTTATGAGATGGAACTAGAACCAAGCTAAACTAAAACTCCAGGATAGGAAGACCAAAAAAATGACAATGAATCACACCCTTCATCCATGGAGCAATGTTGACAGATTCCACTTATCAAGGAAAATGGATGGACATGGAATGCTCTTATGGGTAATTTTAATAGTTTCCATAGGAAATTCCATATTGAAATTAGAAAACAATTAAGAGAAAGATCTGCTATAATGTATATCAGGACATTCTACTTTTATACAGGTAACAGTTTAATTGATAAAATTCTTGTAATTCAATCCCTTTCTTCTCAATAAAAATTAATAAAATTTAGTGAAAGTCATTATTATTGGAAAATTATAACCATCAAAGGCTTGGCAGTTAACTTGGTATGCCAGAAATGAGACACTTTGATAATGGTACATCCCTTATCAAATAATGTCTGTATTGTTGACATTGTACAAGGGGCTCTCCTTGAACCTCAAATCTGGTTGGTAGATGCTTAAGTGTATCCATGTGGCATCTCTACTCTGACAGTTTTTACTTTCCAGATGCATCTCACAATACTTATTGTCAACTTTAAAGTTCTATATGGTGTAGAATCTGAATTCCTTAAGAGATTGCCCAATTCAAGTAGAACCAGGTATGAGGCTTCTTCTACTGAGTCAAATATTCCACTATCAAGTAGTTTGGGCATAGCATTTCTTCTGTTCTGAATACACGACAACAGGTATTTCAATCAATTACAAAAGAGAGAGAAAAAGAACAGAAGTGGCTAAGTCAATACACTGACAGATAGGATAAAAACACATAGCCTTTGGAACTCTGGACAGAGGCAAACAAATGGAAGAAAACAAAAATTATGTGCTGGACCACAAATACATAGATATAAGCAAACTGATGGATTAAGCATTGTTAAACAAGAAAGTTATGTAATGTAATCCTAAAAAAGTATACATGAAAATAACTCGAGAGTTAGAAAATTGTAAAGAAAATTGGTACAGGTCTGGGGAAATTATTTAGCTTGCTATTTTAATTGGTCAACAGCAGAGAAATGACACTGGAAAGCCTGTCTGTTGTTAAGATCTATATTTGTCTAATGCTTAATTTTTTTTGTTATATAGTGTGTTGCCTTATCAAACTCTCTTTTCTGAAATGAAAAGCCACTCTTCTTTTCTTGCTGGTACTACTCATCTTTCCCTTATTGCTGCAATTGTTGTGGGGAAGACTGAACAATAACAAAGAATGTTCCAATTCTTCTTGTATGCCTCCCCCCCCCCCCCAAGCATATTAGCCTGTAAATAAGAAATTAGGACTAGGAGAATCAACACTGTGCTGGGGAAATGCCAATTTTTTCCCCTTTTTATTAACAGTAACAGCAGCCTAAGAGGGGTTTAAGGCAACAATGGGAGCCCACCAATCAATAACATATTCATGTTCTCCTCTCTGAGGCATTTTGCAATACTTAATAGATCAACCCAGAAGTTATCTTTTCACATGTTGTCCCTTTCAGTGAATAATACAAATTAACCATAATGTTTGAACAGACTGAATTTTATACGTCTTTTAAATCTGAAATATAATTTGGGCTTCAAAGAGAATATGATCAGTGAAACTATTTGATAATTATGTTAAAAAGTCTTACCGCTTGCGTTTCATTAAGTTCCTTTTGATATTTTATTACCATCTGATTAAATTTCTCCTTTTCCTGGTTAAGTTCCAACTGCAACTTTCGGTTTTCCTTCTCTTTTTTCTTGAAATCTTGCATATTTACTTTCTTCCTATCTAGTTTAAAATCTTTTCGATTCATAATCTCAGCCAATTTGTTCACAGCCTATTGCATATTAAATAGAAGAAAATCAAAGTAGATACATTAATACAAATTAACCTTGGAAAGTAAGCAAAGAAGATTTCTATCTAGACAATAAATATCAATAAATATTTTTCCACCTGAATATTTTATGAAGAACATCCTCATCTTAGTCTATTAAAGACACAGCAGATAATTAATAGCTTTACTTTGGGTTAATTAATATCTTCTCTTGGAAACCATTTCACCACTTTGTTAAAACAACTTCAAATGTTAACATTCCACAACATAAAATTAGTTGTCACATTCTGGCATCCCGCATAAATGAAACCAGCAACACAAGTTGATGTGATAAGGTTTTCTGGTAAAGCACGGACCCGGCACTAAGCGACCAACCATTAAATAATTAAAGTTTGTGCTACCTCAATTCAAGATAAACAAATACAAATCTCACATCCATCTGGAACACATGTATAGGCTTAAGTGGTTCTATTCTAACTCAAATGAATAACCATGAGCTATCTAAGGAAACATTTTTTTTGTACATGTAACTTTTGAGTCAGTAGTAAGGCAAGTCTCTTAAGTTTTCTTAGCAATATTTTTGGATGTAGTTTGTCATTGCTTTCTTCCTAGAGATGAAAGTAACTTGATCAAAATCACTTAGCTGTTGTTGTTTTTACCTAAAACATAACTAGAATTAATGATCTTCCAGTTTTTAGCCTGGTGTGTTAACCACAACAAAAAAATGGCTCTTGTGGAAGCATTAGTATCTCTACATGTTTGTCATCTAAATATTCATAAATGTAATCTGCCTTTTATTGCATCAGACCATTTAACTATCTAGGATACCATTGACTATCAACAGTGTTTTTCAGTTTAATTTTGATGTAAAGTAACCATATGTATCACTACCCAGAAAACAATGTATCTGTATGAAAGACAACTCTTTACTGATCTTAATTACTGATATTTGAGGCACACTTTTTATACAGGTATCTTAATTATTAATGAGAATAATGGCAAATGCTTATGAGAAAGCTGTATATACATTACAAAACAAAGGTCATTTTCTGAAATAACAATTTAAAAAAATGTGGTACAGGCTCCCTAAGGCTGATCAATATATTTAGGGTTTTTTCTGTTACTGTATGAATTAAAATTAAGAAAAACAAAATTATTTATGAAGAACCAAAACACTCTATTTATGAAGACATGTACTTAGTCACTTATGCCCTGGTCATCTCTTGTTTTTATTACTGCAGTGCACTCCGCGTGGGGCTACCCTTGGAAGAGTATTTGGAAGCTAAAATTGATTCCGAATTCGGTAGCACGAACTGTTTTGGAGGTCTCTAACGACCACACATGTAATACCAGTGTTACATGAGATGCACTGGTTGTCAATCTGCTTCCAGGTGTTGATGGCATGGGTCCAGCATATCTGAGGAGCCATCTGGCTCCAATGGGATCAGCCTGCCCTACTCATTCTGGCAGAAGGGGCCTGTCGCGGATTCCATCAGCCAAGGCTGGCAGAATCCAGGAGAAAAGCCTGTTCTATTACTGTCCTGTGTTTTGCAACTGGAGGTGAGATTTGCCCCCACTCTTCTGGCCTTCTGGAAGGGCCTAAAAAACTGGCTCGTTACTTAGGGCCCTAATGGAGATGCACTAGGCTGGCAGTAATTGGTGTAGTGATAGAGAATGCCCCACTCTCACTCTGCATGAGTCCTTAAGTTTTTTTGTTAGTCTGTATTTAACTCTTGGAATTTTAAATATTTTTTATATTTGTAATTTATTTTTATATTTATTGTAAATTACCCAGAGTGGATAGCAAGATGGGCTGCATATAAATTTATTAAAAAATAAATAACCTAAAATAGATGTCGTTTAAAATAGACATCTCCATCAATCTTCCAAAATACACTCACCTGTGTTTTAAGTGTTCTTTCATAGTTCAGGTTTTTTTCATACTGTGTTCTAATTGTGTTGAATTCCTCTTCTTTTTTCAATATATACTCTTGTTGAAAAAAATTAAGAATTTATGGGATTTTATTGCATCAGTATCACATGCACTTTTTCTTTTTTACTAAATCTGAATTTAATAGAAACAGAACAGAGTCCTGACCCTACATATTCAGCCCAGAATTATACAGGATGGGAAGTGCTTAGCTTTTAAATACGGTAGACAGGCAGACTTGGTTGACTTATTAACCTAATTCATAATATAATTATGACTCACTGTGTTTTGTGAACCTAGCAACTGTGATTGTAATATGTTTAGTTTTGTATAATACATGAAACATAAAAATGGTATTTAAAGCAAATGAACTACAGTTTGGAGTTACGTCTAGACTATGTATTTATTACTTATAATTCATAAAAAAACCTAGAATCACTTTCTTTGCTAATTAAGATCTATGTATCAACTGACACAATGTCCAAGCTGATAAGGTTCAGTTATTGCCATTCTTGGTTTTCAAAAATTACGTATAAATTGCATGTGCATGGAATGTGACAAACAATGGAAAAATAAAACAGTTCCTATAGTACATGCTTAATCGTGAGAGAAAATTTAGTGTGCCCATTGTTAAATAAATATTGGCTGACTGTCTATCTGTCATTACAGATAGTCCTTAGCTTACAACCAGTAGACCAAATATATGATGGCCATGGACTGCATTCTGCAATCGTGTGACTGCTACTCATAATGGTACTTGCAAATGAATGGGCTCACTTAACAACCATGTTGTTTAACAACTACAAAAAAGGCTGGAAAATTACTTCTGATTACAGGAGTGCCTCAACTATAACAACTTATGACTGATTTACAGTCCCAATTACAGTCATAAGTCAAGGACTGCCTGTATATTACTGACTCTTAAATTCTGTTTTCTGTTTGAGTTCTAATTTGTTTATAAGCTTTATTTCATTTTCTATTAAAATAACTCAAAGGAATCAAAACCATTAGAAATTATTAAAACAAAACAAAGTAAAAGTGGAAATAATGAGGCAAGAAAAATAAAAATAAAAATTTTGGGGTTTGTTTTAAAAGGGCTATCTCAACCGTTTGCAATTCCCCTTTAAATCCACTACTCAAAGTGTGAAGGTGCAAAACCTTAAAAATGGTTAGTGAAACTCTTTCAAGAATATTCCTATGTTGATTTGAGAAGATATATGGATGTGAAGATGACACCCCTTTCAAATAACCACCAGATGATTTTGCATAATTCTAATGTTTAATGCAAGTTATTCAGTAAGTTAATGAGGCATCTGCTTTCACTTTTCCCCCCAGATTATATAACATGAGAGTCCATCCCATTACAAAGTACTGCCTGAATGACTTTCTGAAAGAAATTTTAAAATGCTGATGAATTTCTTCCCTAACATGGTATTTTTACATAAAAAAAATTAAACAAGACCTCCTATACGTTTTCTCATACATTCTGATAATCACTCATATATGTATTCCAACAATTCATTGTATTTTCACGTTATCTCACATTTTTCCTAATTTACAAAAACTGAACCCTGTCTTCTTGAGTATAACTACAATCACACTTAAAATCTTTGAATTAGTTTTCTGTGTTCAATAATATTTTTATCTTTTGGTCTATTCTTCCCCTCCCACATCTATAAAGCAATATCTATAGAATACCAAACCATATTCTGCTCCTGCAATGTTGAAAGACCGTTTTTCTTACTGTATAAGATAGTATTGAAAAGGCATTAGCCTTCTTCCAAACAATGTCATTGAAAATATGAAATACCTTCTTCAAGTTTTTTAATATTTCCATTTAACTCAGAATTCTCCTTTGTTAGAAAGGCCACATCTTTGGTTAATGTATTATTTGTTTCTTCAAGCTAAAGGAAAATAAAACAGTATCAGCTGCATTTGAGTAATTGTTGAGGAAAAGAAATAGAAATTTTGTAGAAGTATACTGCTTCTATTATGGAATTGAAGAATAAATGGACACAACTATATGACTAATGGCAATTCATCTTTCCATAACTTATTTTTAAATTTGACCTAGCTTAAACATATATTTTACCCATGGGGTTATTAGCAAAAATATATCAATTCAAATACTAAGTTTAAGAAGACAGTCTGTATTAGCACGGTCAAACCGATGTGATATGAGTCCAGGAAGAACATTAAAGAAATAGTTGGTTTACCAATTGGAGAAAATGGCAATATGGAGATAAGGAAAAGGGGAAGATTGAATTATTTAATTCCTATTTGTACCTGACAAAAATAGTAATCCAAGCTGCTGGAAACTTCATTGGGGAAACAGAACAGAATCTAAGTCAAACTAGACAAGGAACGGGTGAAAGAACAACTAGCTGCAAATTGAATCTTTGGGACCAGTCAGACTTACACTGTCAAAAACTGGCAGATTTTATCTCAGTGCCACTGACTGTAATCTTTGAGAACTATTAAGAGTACAAGATAAGTGCCAAAAGATTGGAAAAGAGCTGATGACATCTGGATGGCTCCTACCCTGATCTTGTTCAGGAACATATTAAATACCTGGGCATTCTCCCAGGGTTTGAGTTAGTTTGATGATAGTTGAGCCTCTGTTGGATGAGAGGTTTTTTTGGCTGATCTGTTTTTCTTCAGACCACTCATGATCTCTCTTGGATCATTTGTTTTTGTCTTTTATTTGTCAACTGCCCAGGATTTCTTGGTAGTCAGGCCTCTAAACTATATATGTATGAATGTACCAATAAATTTATATCAAAAAAGAAAAAAGGCAAATCCCACAAGCTCCCAGATCAATCATGTTGAAATCACAACTGGGAAAATTCTAGAAAAGATCAGTTTGCAAGCCCTTAGAAAAGTCATTGTGGGTTTGTTAAAAACAGGACATGAAAACATGTTTTTCTTTTGACAAAGTGCAGATCAAACAAATGCTATAGATGTTGTACACTCATACTTCACTAAGGATTTGATCAAGTTGACCACAGCTGCTTAATGAAACAAAATAATGTGGGATGGGTGACGCCACCAAGTTATGGATTTGCGGCTAGCTGAAAAACCATACCCAGTTATGGTCCTAAATGGTTCTATGTCAATATGAGGAAGTGATCTAGTATTCAGATTCAACATTCAACTCTTCAAGGAAAGCATAAGCTAATAACTGTTTAACATCAGATTTTGTTTCAACCAGAGCTAACTGTGTACACAGTTTCTCACGAGTCATCACTACTTTTTAAACACTACACTGGGAAATAGTACAATGTATTGTAATATTCAGCTTGGGAGACAATTTCTTACAATAGCAATGTGCTACAGCTACCTCAAGAGCTAATAGAATCTAAGGCAGTATCAACTGAGATATAGTGTCTGGTTCATGAGAAGTGACAATTTCACTTTATGTTGCATTGGTCATACTGCACCTGGGTATTGTGTCCAGTTCTGATTGACAAAATACAAGAAGTATACTGAGGATAGAGGGGGAGGACAAAGATGGAGCCCTGGAGATAACATTCTATGAAGAATGTTATAAACGAACTGGGTATGTTGGGCTTTAAGAGAACTATTAACCAGTAGAATAGTCTGCTTCCTGTAGTTATTAAGACTCCATCACTGGAGCTTTTCAGAAATGGATGGATGTATATAAGATGGTATGAGGATTCTTGCCTGAGCAGGGAGTTGGCTGGAAGAGCTCAAAAATCTTTTCTAACCTATAATTTTGTGATTTCCAATGCAAGAAAATGTTTCCTATTTCAATAAAGGAAACCTTACCCTTATTTAGCTATATGCATACATCCAGCATGCGACTGAAGATTTGTAAGAAAAACAACCATGCATCATAGTAACCTCTCAATATGTAGTCACATTACTAAAGATACAATAGCTTTCTTTCTCACAATATAATAAACTGACTTCATGATACAAATATAAAAATATACCTTACCCGACTGACAATATTGTCCTTATCAGTAATTTCTTGTCTATTTCGTGATGCTGCTTTCTTACTCTCTTGTGTTAGTTCAAAATACTGTTCTTCAAGGAGAGCTCGGGCTAATTGTTCAGATTCAGCTTTTGTTTCAGCCAGATCTAACTGTGTGACAACAGCTTCTCTGCAACACAAAATTATTATTTTTAAACAAACAAATAAACAGCTCATATTTATACTTTTGTTTCACATACATTTCCACAGCCAACAAAGCTGCTTTTTAGGCACATTTTAAAATACAACCAATTACAAAAGATAAGATGTTTTGTTCTAGCTAATGTTTTGAAAATGTGCTAACCTGACATCAAGTTGTTTCTTTTAAGAACTCTTTTTTTTCTTAAAATATAGGCAGCAATCCACAAAATTATCATATTTAAATCCTTTTTGTTTCCATGTGATAAAAAAGATTTTTCTCTTTCTGGGAGATGGGCAGTTCAAAAATGTAAAAAATACATACATACATATACATACGTATTCCATCGACATTACCAATGTTGCTTAGAGTATCTCAATTTTAGAAGAATTCTGCCCATAAAAGTGACTTACTTTTCATTTAGCAGTTCTTGTATTTTTTTCTGCGTTTCTTTATTTTTTTCCTCAATTTCTTCTTTGAGTTCTTTAACTTGAGTTTTATAAAGTGTCTGGAAATTTTTAAAAAAGGCACCATCATCATTTAGATATTGTTATAATCCAGAATTTTTCATTTATTAGTCAAATTTGGGATGATGATAAGGGCTACATATTATTCAATCTATATTTGTGTATTATTTATATCAAGCTTTTACAACCACTCTTTCAAAGAGCTTGCAATATTTTTGAAAGAAATGAAAGAAGTTAAAAAACTATACAATGAAGCCAGCAACAAAGAGATAGTGTAATTTTTACTCAAAGCAATTCCCCTGATGCTGCCTACTACAGGTAGTCCTCAACCCTCAATCATTCATATAGTACCATTCAAAGTTACAACAGCACTGAAAAAATGGCTATTTTTTCACACTTACTATCTTTGCAGCATCCCTATGATCACACAATCAAAATATGGAACTTGGCAACTGGCGTGTATTTATGATGGTTGCAGTGTAGTGTTGTAGTATCATATGACCTTTTGTGATGGGTTTCAAAGACCAGTCATTGTGCAGCGTGCCAAGATGTCTGACTGTCTGGGCAGCGTTTATTCTTTTATACCATTTTTACAAGCAAGGAAGAGTAACATAGATACAGCATCAGGATTGGAGAATAGATACCACATGGGTGAAACCTCCCAACCAATCCTTAAAGAATAGTGATGATGTTAGTAAAATGAGATCATCTATAAAGTCTGGAAAGTCCGGGACTTTCCAACCCAGGATACGGAATGAGATCATGCAAGTAGCAAAGAGGCCCATATAGGTTAAACGCTGCAGTTTGCTACTTGCATGCTTTGCTACTTGCATGCTAGCACAATCTACAGGATCTTAATAGCTACTACATTTCACTCTTTTTTATTTTGTTAGATAAAGAATAATCATAAAAGGAGTTAGTAAGGGGATTATAATAAGGGCATATGCTTGACCCTGAGACAATGTAGGAGAGGGTTTGGGACAAAAAGCTGTGATATATATATTGCAAAGAGAAAGGAGACATTGAACAAAGCAACACCCACTAATTAAAGCACAAATAATGACTACATAGCGTAAATTTTTTCCCATTTGGGGCTGATCAAAGCAGATATGGTTAATTTATGCTGTTACGTGTGGTAGAAAGAACTAAGAAAAGAAGAAAATGTTTACTATTCTTTTCAGGATGTGATTTCCATTAAAACTTCTTAGATGTGTATGTATAATGTATAGTAATTGCATGCATAATAGAACTTAGCTGTGTATGTATAATGTAAAATAATTGTATGCAGAAATGAATAGGATTGAATTGAAGAAAAATATCCTTTACCTGTGTATAGCCCTAATTGGAACTGCTGCAGTTCAAAATAAAATAATTGAAACATGTTTGGCAGCCAGAGAATTAAATTGGCTTTTTGTATTGGATTTAGAGCTTAGAAATCATCCCAGATTGAAAGGAGTAAGAAACAGCGCGTGCAAGGAAATGAGAAAGGTCCGGACATGAGAAAGATAGGATTATTTGTGTGTGCTTTACTGATCTTGAGAATTATTTGTGTGTGATTTATTGGTGAAAAGAATGTTGAGTGGGAAAAAATGGGTGAGATTTCTGTGTATTTTAAAATCCACCCCCACCCCACCCGTCCTTGCTGGTTGTTAACTTTTTGCCTTGTAAAGGTGGAGGGGCAAGAGGAGAAGGGGGAGTGAGGCTTTTGATCACTTTGGCAAATTTTTTTCTTTCTCTCTCTGCTTTGCGAAAGGCGGGGCTGGAAAATGGAAAGCATTTTTTTTATATAGGTTACATACAAACTTGTAGTCGTTGCTGGAGAAATACAAAGGAGCTTTAGATAGCTAGGCTGAGATTGGCAATCTGCCTGGAACGTTATCTGTAAAGGTGGCTCAGTTCCCAGGTTGGCAGGTCACCTAGAACAATTATCTTTGAAGATGGCTCAGTTCCCAGTTTCAGCAAGGGGAATCAAAATTCAAACTAGATGCACTCTGTACATGCTCTTAATCCATATTTTGATTAAAGCAGAGAATTGACACTAAAATTTGACTCCATCAGGAAGGTTTACAACAAGAATGTGAAGAATGCATAACTATTACCAGCCCAACAGGTGAAATCACAAAAGGTATACAATGGACTTTGCAAATAACTTTTTCTTCTAATTCTTGATAAGTACAGTAAGGTATAAATGGTGGAGTTGTGTAATGATTTTCAATTTTATTTTCAGAATAACTTATCTCTTCAATGTCCTTTGCCTGACTATGTAAACTGTATTGTTTGTCCAGGCATGATATTCCCCTCTGAAAAAAAAATCGGGGCTGGCCAAAAGAGACCCCGCGCCCGCGCCAACAAATCGCACACACAACACCAACGCTACACACCCTTCCTTTCCAGCCGGTCAGGTGTGGATCAGCTCCGGAGCTGGGCAGCCGCTTCCCTGGTGGTGGGGCCGAGGCCGCCGCCCGGGGAGCGCCCGCTGCTTTCCCTCGCCAGGGCCGGGTGGTGGCGTGTTGCCCTGCACCGCGTGGCCCCCGCCTGGCAGCGCGCTTCTCGGCACGAGGCAGCTGGGTTGCCCAAGGAGCCCGGCCAGCCAGGTGAGGGGAAGGCAGCAAGGGCCCTGCCAGGCTGGGGCGGAAAACCCGCTTGGCAAGGGACCGGGGAAGCCTGCGGGCGGAGGACCAAGCACGCTGGGAGGCAGAGATTCGGCCAAGGCTGTCAGACGGAGAGACGGCTGGTCTGTGGCTGCCCAGCTCCCTTTTCCTGCTACTCAGCGGCCTCCGCTCGCACCGCCCGGGCTCCACTCAAGTGTCCGGCTGGGGCTGTCAGGAGTTGCTACCGCCGGCGCGGCTCTGCGCGACTCCAGTCCTGCGTTGCCTCGGGAAGGGAAAGGCAAAACCGGGAGCCGCTGCGCCTGAGCCTCTGGTGCCGCTGCCGCCGTTGCAAAGCGCCGCCGCGGCTCTTCCTTTTTGCCTTTCCCTTCCTGAGGCAACACGGGACTGGAGCCATACGAAGCCGCGCCGGCGGTAGCAACTCCTGACTCAGGTGGCCTGACTCAGGGGAGGGGAAGGAGGAGAAGAAGGGGGGAAGGGGGGAGCGATTCCTAAAAAAATCAGAATTCCGATTTTAATCGGAAGAATATCATGTCTGTTTGTCTAACGATCATTGGCTTGCTTGCTTAATGACTTCTTCCTTTCCTGTCCTTATAAGGATCGTCATGATACCTGGAAAGTGTCCTGCTATTTTAACTTTCAAAACTTTTTCCCTTTTGGTTTAATCTCTGACTTTCATTATGTGTGTTAACTTATTTTTAATCTTCCAGGTGCTTATATCATGCCGAGGATTGACTCTAATGACCTTATTTATAACTTTGCAACAACTACTACGAGACCGAAGATGTTTAACCCACTTTGTTTTCATATTCCACTTTATCAAGTCAAGCAGATTGTTTCATCATCAACTTTGGCAAATGGATGTTACCTACCAGGCAAGCCCTCTTTTTTTATAACATGATATTCAGCTTTTTTTGTAATTTTGTACAACCTGGAATATAGCCATAATGGAACATGCTCATCAGTCAATCATTTAAGGCCTGTCTCCACAAATAAATAAAAAAGGAGGGAAAGGGTCTCTAAAACGTTTAAAAATATATAATTTACCTTAAATCAATTGACTGTTTTTATTCAAAATTTAACTACTTGGGGGCGAGGGGGCAAAGCTGTGCTACTATGTTTGCTCCTACAGGACCTTTGTGGATTCCAGCTCATTGTGTCCACCCAGCCAAGGATGTTGTGGCACCAGTTCCCGGATCTGGTCCCAGTCCCAGGAATTTGACTCTACAGATGGCACAGTGTCCAATCTGGGCTCATTTGTTTATGCTTGATTGTTTACAGCTGTTCTTTGGCAACAGTGGCTTTATTCCACCCAAACACTCACTCGAACAATGAATGAAGTAAAACTTATGGGTGCAATTGGCTAACATCACACAGAATGATGTCTTTTGTTTATCTGAAGCTTATGATATGGAACATTAGCTTTCTACATGTTTAGTTCCCGTTTGCACTCCTACAGTAATTCAAAACTTCATTGGCTTAAGTGGATTTTTATTAAATGGAAGCTTTAACTGTGTGACTATATCCAGTTGGGAGTTTGCTGCCTATTATCCACCCCGATGCAATTGCTTTACACACCTCAATGGTAGCAGTCCCTGTAAATATAACCTGTGTAAAAGTAGTTAATTGCACATCTTCAAGTAAAAACCCTCACTGTCATCGCATTAGCTCACTACTCTGAACTGCACAGCTTTGGAAGAGACTTTCTTTAACTTTGCCCATGTTTGGCTACTGCAAGGATGGTTTTTACGTGTGTTCAAGAAACTTTTAATTATATTCCTGTTTTGCTTTCTAAACAACAACTTTATCCTTCAAATCATTCTTGAAGGGTCACGCTAGATAACACTTGTGACTCTGAAACAACCTTACTTAATAAAGCAGAACACGTAGTGCTAGCTTTGTCTACAGTGGGCATGCCAGCAATTGCTGCTCACGCTCACCTTAACATTAACTCTGTTACACGTAATTTAGAAAAAACAATTATGTAATTTAGCAAAACCAATTAATGTTACTTCTTCAGCTATCTCAACAATCAACCACGAGATGCAAGCGTTGAGGAAGGCTATTCTACAAAATCTATGTTGTTTTAATTTGTTTGATGGGTCACGAACCATCCAGCACCAGCTTAATATTTTACACAATTTGGCCTTGGATTTGAAAATTGATAATTTAGGATCTTGGTGGGAAAGCTTTTGGGTTTGGTTGCCCACAGGCTTAATGGGAAAAAAAAATACGCTATGTAGTCATTATTTGTGCTTTAATTAATGGGTGTTGGTTTGTTCAATGTCTCCCTTCTCTTTGCAATATATATATCACAGCTTTTCGTCCCAAACCCTCTCCTACATTGCCTCAGGGTCAAGTATATGCCCTGTATAAACAACTACAAGCATGTTCTTCTATTGATTATTATGAATCCTCCCCAACTCCTTTTATGATTCTTCTTTAACTAATAAAATTAAAAAGAGTGAAATGTAGTAGCTATTGAGATCCTGTAGATGGTGCTAGCAGCAAACTGCAGCGTTTAACCTATATGGGCCTCTTTGTGACTAGCATGATCTCATTCTCTATCTTAGGTTGGAAAGTCCCAGACTTTCCAGACTTATAGGTGATCTCATTTTACTAACATCACCACTATTCTTAAGGATTGGTTGGGAGATTTCACCCATGTGGTATCTATTCTCCAATCCTGATGCTGTATCTATGTTACTCTTCCTTGCTTGTAAAAATGGTATAAAAGAATAAACACTGCCCAGGCAGTCAGACATCTTGGCACCTTGCACAATGACTGGTCTTTGAAGCCTATCACAGACCTTAAACATAAGCAAATCAATCACAACAAGCCTTTGCCTTGAGAGTTCCAGTTGTTTAAAAATAATAATGAAAGTGGAAGAAGGCATTTTATAACAGTCATTTCTTGGATATTTTGTGAAAAACTGGTTTTATTATAGCAATTCTTTAAACAAACCTATCTCTTCAGAGATAGATTTATTGGAAATCCAAAATACAGGTGCCAATATATACTATTGAGCCCAACCTAATACATGTGTCCAAAAGGTCAACAAGGGCAAGTCCAGAATGGTTAAAAGTCTGGAAGAAAAATGTATGTTTACCATTTTTTTAGCTTGACAGCAGACAAGAATAGAAATCAATCAGTAATAGAAAAAACAGCTGTGTACCTTTCTTGTTCTTCCGCCCCCACTTACCACTTTTCCCATTCTAAGGCACAAACATTATTTAAAAGTGAAGGTCATTATTAATACATTAATGCAAGTTGTACATAACATAATTAAATGCTTGTGCAATATGAAGAACACTTACAGAAAAATATTGTTCAGCCTCTAGTTGATCTTGTAGTTCACGCATTTGGCCTTCATTCCCTCTGTATTGCCTTTGAGGTGGAAAAAATAAAGCAATTTCTGTTCTGAACTATTAGTCATTAGGTGTTCAGTAGATCAAGTAATAAAAGTATTATTTGAGTAGAACACAGGCAACTTAAGAAGTCTAGAAGTTTAAAATATTTATGCCATTAGTTTTCATGGATAGCTTCCATGAGATATTTGCATAAATAACTATAGTGAAGTCAAATGTCAATACAACATAGCATAAACGACATTACTAAAAGCAGTCCTTTACAATATAGTTCTTTTTGAGAATGAAAAATGTAACTTACTTAGCCAGCTGAGCCAACTCAAATTCTGCTAATCTTTTTGCTTCCAACAATGTGTTAATCTCCTGTTTTAGCTGTTTCTCAGAACTCTTTAAACTATCTGCTTCTATAGCATGCATCTTCAGTTCATTCTGTGTCATCACTCTTTTATTTATCTCATGTTCCAATTGAAGTGCCAGATTCTTAACCTAAAACACAGTAAAAATGTATTCATTTCTACATACTTATTTTGGCATTATCCGATTTTAGGCCAAGAATGAAAATGTTCTAATTATTAAGAAAATTCTACTCCTTATATTAAATCCACATATATAAGAATGTGCAGCATTTGAATCTGAAGTGAAAAGGGCTTTGAAGCAGGTGTTGGGGTTAACACTGGGTTCCTAAGTTAACACTGTAGGTGTATGATTTCAGGAAAATATATATTTGAATTAAGGAGATGCTAACAACACACTCACAACTACTTTGAAGACCTTGTTGTATCCTCCTGGCACTCCCTTAACTTAAGCATGTATTTTCTTCCATGGCTGCCATGTGAGCCCAGGAAAAGATGGTAGCATTTTTGAAAAGTTGCTGGCAGGCACAACCCATGCCTATTCCAAAACACTACTTTAAGCTTTGGATTGCTACATGTATATATAGCAATATTAGAATTATATCTGACACCAAAAACAACACTTATGCCATTTTTTTCTTTGCATTAAATTATCTCAATCAAAATACTAAAAATCAATTTCAAAGGCATTTTGCCTTCAGACATCTGGAATTCTGGCCTGAAATGTTCAACTTCTGCAAACTATGTGGTCCTTTTGGGTTCTATTCTATAAGAATATGTACAGCAAGAATATACAACAGCAAGTGCTTTCCTTAACAAGTTCCAAAGTTTTAATATTTTGAGACTTCTGGTGAAAATTAATGGTAGTTTAGTTCTGTTTGTCTTTAGGGAAGACAACACCACAGTTGAGATTGGCGCCCAGAAGCTAGTGCCTGAAGCCAAACTTCCTCTGTTCCAGATAAAGGAGGAAGTGTGAAAACAACTATCTGATTAAACCAGGAAAATCCAGACCAGATGGATTACCATTTTTTATTACAAATGCTTTCTGGGTGAACTTTTACAACTCCTCCAAATTACAATAAACTCTATTCTGTAAGAGCCATGGTGGTGCAGTGGTTAGAATGCATATTGCATGCTAATTCTGCTGACTGCCAGGAGTTCGATTCTGACCGGCTCAAGGATCAGCAATCTGGATTCTCATTTTCCAGATCTTGGAAGGACGGAAGGCTGAGTGAAATTTTGAGCCAGTCAGGATCAAACTCCTGGCAGTTGCGTAAAGTTAACCTGCAATATTGGATTCTAACCACTGCGCCAATGCTGAGAAAAAGGTTTTCAAAAAATAGAAGAACAAGATATAAGACTTGTGTGGGATAGTTATTTATAGTATGATAAAGTTAATATAGATGATATATTAATTTAATAAATCATCTATTTTATCATTAAAGTTTTAATATTTCTATTCTTTTCCGATGTATCAAAACAAAGGTTCAGGTTGTTTCATAAGAAGTCTCATATACCTGTCAATGGCCTTCCAATTCGATTTAAAACTGCTTAATTATGATTCAGGAAAGATTTTAGAATATCATGCCCAGAGCCTTAGGTGTGAGGAAGTTTATAAATAAATAATTTGTGAAAATAATTTTGTGGTGGATTTGAAGCTACACACAGATTTTTTTGGTTCATAGAAACAAAGTAATTTTTCATGTATGCCTAAAAGGAATGTTCATATGAGTATAGAAATTACTGTCTTACCTCATCTTCCAGTCTCTCTTTCTGTTCAGTAAGGTGCTCAATCTTCTGTTGTGATTGCTTCAGATCAAAGTCTAACATGGAACATCGTTTTTCAATCTGAACTATTCTATTTTCTGCCTTCTCTCTTGCTGCTCGTTCTTCCTTTACCTTTTTTTCAATTTCTATGAGAAAAAGAGAGACAACAAAAATTATAGGTAGTCCTCACTTACTACGAATGTGTAGCTAAGCTGAAGCCACATCAGTTCATTTCTGGCTCAATTGTTAAACAAATAACTGTGGGTCATTAAATGTGATGTCAGTGACTAGAGTTTGTGATTTTCTGCCAGCTTCCCACTTTTCTTGTTGGAAGCTGGCTGTGAAGATCACAAATGGCAATCATGGACCATGGAACACTGCAACTGTCATAAATGTGCACTGGTTACCAACCGCCCAAATTATGATCATGTAGAGTATAGGAATATAGCCATCACTTAGAACAGGGGTCTCCAAACTTGGCAACTTTGAGGCTTGTGGACTTCAACTCCCAGAACTCCTCAGCCAGAAGCTGCCTGAGGAATTCTGGGAGTTGAAGTCCACAAGCCTCAAAGTTGCCAAGCTTGGAGAATCCTGACTTAGAAGATCAGTTATAACATTTTCAACATCATCATGACTTTGAAGAGTTAATGAATAAGTGATTGCTAAGTGAGAATTACCTGTAATGTACATTAAGAAAGCAAAAAAGAGTGTGTTTATGAGATCTTTCAAATATCCTACTGAGGGGCAAGAGAAAATATTAAGCATTTGGGGAAGCTATATTAATATATACGGTAAAAATCTCCTAGAATTGTTACCTGTAATATAATGATATATCTAATTCATATAGATTACATACAATATGAGAAACAGAGACTGGTACCTAGATTTTTTTTGTAATTAAATAATACCGTGTTTCTTACAAAATAAGGCTGGGCCTTTTTTTTTGACCCCCGAAAAAACGGCTAGGCCATCTTTTCGGGGGTGACTTAATTCCCCCCCTTGCATCCTCGGGCAGGCGGGCGGCGATGGCTTGGATGTTGACCTCGGCGTTGGTGGGGCACTTCGTATCGGGAGACCTTCCGCCACCGTTGCTTTGTCTTCTCCCCGTGCTGCCGCGGCGTTTAGAGCAACGCTGCGGCGTTTGGCGTAGCCACACGCCGCCAGTCAGGGCTTCTCCCTGCAACCAGAGCCCGGCGAAGACACTTGGCTTCAGGCGCTCCTGTCGCCGCCTTCCCTTCGCCTTCAAAGGCAAAGCCAATTCTTTTAAAAATGACGCCCTACTACTGGTACGACAAAGCCTCCCCTGCCCAAGAGGGCAGCCCAACCCCATGTGGGGAGGCGAATCTCCCAGGGCCACAGCGCAGGATAGGCCCACCCCGGGAGAAGCACCCAGCCGCCATCCCTGCCTGGCGCCGGGCAGAGCATGAAGAGCTTTGCCTGGGGCGCCCAGCGCAGCTGACAGGTGGACTCTCCTGCCCAGTGGCGGAGCTCTCGCCAAGGCAGCGAGAGCCTCCCTGCTGGGCCCTCCGCTCATCTCACCAGGACCGCGCCAGAGCCGTGCGGGCTGGGCAGGACCACGCCAGAGCCGTGCGGGCTGGGCAGAGCTGGGCAAGCGAGCCATGGGTGCGCGCCTGCCTGACAAGCGAAAGAACCAGGCCGACCCAAGCTTGGCTTCCATCCCAAGTCCCTCCAGCCCAAACCCGAAGGGGCCACCGGGAGAGGCCGCCGAGGCAGTGATAGCGCCCACCCACCCATGGACAGGGAGGCAAGGTGACGGTCTGCACCGTCTCCTCCTTCAAGCTGAGTCCCGAGTGAGCGCCTCTGCCTGATGCCCGTGCCGCTGCAGCGTTTGGAGCTGCTGGAGCATTTGGAGATGCGTGGGGACAGGGACGGGCTGGGAGAAGGGAGGAAAGGATGGGTGGCTTCGGGCTCTCTCCGCCGGACCTGCCGGCCAGGGAAGCAGCGCTGCTGTCGCCTTGCCTCCCTGTCCGCGGACGGGTGGGCGTTATCACTACCTCGGGCAGCCTCTCCCGGTGGCCCCTTCAGGTTCGGGCTGGAGGGACTTGGGAAGGAAGCCAAGCTCGGGTCGGCCAGGCTCTTTTGCTTGGCAGGCGGGCACACACCTGCGGCTCGCTTTCCCAGCTCTGCCCAGCCCGCACGGCCCTGGAGCGGCCCTGGCAGGATGAGGGGAGGGGCCGGCGAGGAGGCACTCGCTGCCTTGGCGAGAGCTCCGCCACCGGGCAGGAGGGCCCACCTGTCAGCTGCACTGGGCACCCCAGGCAAAGCTCTTCGCACTCTGCCCTGTGCCAGGCAGAGATGGTGGCTGGGCACTTCTCCCGGGGTGGGCCGATCCTGTGCTGTGGCCCCGGGAGATTCGCCTCCCCACATGGGGTTGGGCTGCCCTCTCGGGCAGGGGAGGCTTTGTCGTACCAGTAGTAGGCCATCATTTTTAAAAGAATTGGCTTTGCCTTCGAAGGCGAAGGAAAGGCGGCGACAGGAGCGCCTGAAGCCGAGTGTCTCCGCCGGGCTCCGGTTGCAGGGAGGAGCCCTGACTGGCCGCGCGTGGCTGTGCTAAACGCCGTGGCTGCACTAAACGCCATGGCGTTGCTGTAAACGCCACAGCAGCATGGGGAGAAGAGAAAGCAATGGTGGTAGAAGGTCTCCCGATACAAAGTGCCCCACCAATGCCGAAGTCAACGCAGGCAGCACCATATCCAGGTATGCAATAAATGTACTTCCTAACGGCAAGCCCCCCCCCCCGCCATTTCCCTCCATTTTGCATGTTTAATATAGGCCTTAATTTGGGGGAGGGGCTTAATTTAATTTTATGCGTATAAAACATGCTGGGACTTCCTATTGGGAGAGGCCGTATTGTTGGAGAAACACAGTATAAAATAAGTACCCCACATCTCAGCAGGTATCAGTTTTCCCAGGTAGGCAAATAGGAAACAAGACCAGACATGTAAGACTACATTAACAGAATCTTTTCAATATGATGGCACAAATATTCTGCTGTCTCTTTTATATTCTGAGAAGGTAAGAAGGTTCCTTTCCCAGTTTCTTTCTCTGCCCTTTATATAGATGTGGGCTATGTCCTCTCATCTAATCATTCCCTAAGCAACATCTCTTCCCTCCAACTCCAATGTCATTATATCAAGCACGTTTCTAGTAAAAAAAGACTTTCCTGCAATAATAGATTAATATTCTGTAGAAATCTACTGTATTTCCAGAACTATGATGAATCATATTGAAAGTCAACTTGTCACCCACAATATCCCATTTCCTAAAGGAAATTTCCCAAAGTATAATTTACAGCAAGCCCCCAAAAGCATGCAGGTTAGACAGCTTAGTCTCAAGTGGAAAATCATCAGAAAACCAAAGATCTTTAGGCCAAATAGGGGATTTTTTTTTTTGGGGGGGGGGAATCCCAAAAGAAAGATAGCAAATTACATGGTTGCCAAGGAGGCTAGATAAATAGAAAGGAATATGCAACCAAATATTTAAAGAGAAATATATCAACACTAATTATATATTAACTTTGCTTATTCTTTAAAAACTTACCATACATAGCAACAGATTTGGCCTCTTCTATTGATTGATGCTTGTCAGTTAACCGAGCTTTGTTTATATTGTGTTCGTTTATTTCTTGCTCTAAACGTTGTTGTACCATTTTAAGTTTGTAGTTTAGATCTATTTCTAAGTTATTCTTCTCCTGCAAGATATTTTGTATAAAATGGTGTCAGATATACTAAATATGACATGTATTCATATTTTATTATATTTTTCAGTACCTTTCTTCTTCCTACATACCTTTTTGTTTGATGTTCATATCCTAGATCCTGTGTATGTATCAGTAAAATGCCTGTGGGATATTGGCAATAATATACTACGGTAACTTGAATGATAGCTTCTAAACCCTAGCCTGCATAGAGTGAAATGTAATTGGAGTAAAAACTATGTGTTGGTTTTACTTATGGTACATTAACCAAAATATGTCAAAGGGACCAAGGTTATCCTTACTGTTATTAGGTAATATTGCATTTGGCACAGATAAGTTAAAGCTGATAATGTATCATACACTATCTCTAGATTGCTAAATAAAGAAGCCTTGGTGAATAAAAGAAGTCAATATGTATAGGGTCACTGAGTGATGACTGTGACATATGGAAAACTATGAACTGAAATGTAAGATGCATAAATGGTAAACAATATGGAAGAAAATGGGGAAAATGCATGTGTGAGAGTAAGAGGAGATGCAGAGAAGCAAGGATGTGGGTTCAATTATAAAAGAGCTAAAATATAGATCAGGATCACCCTTCAAAAGAAGTAAAATAGTTGTAAGAGCCTGTTTCTGCCCATTTTAAATTAAAGTGAAGCTTAGGCATGTCAACAGAAACATAACTTTAAATTGAATGCAGTTGATATGAGTTACTTAAAAAGAATACAGGTAATCACTGAATTACGAGGGTTCTCTTAGCGAATGTTCAAAGTTACATAATAAGCACCCCCTAGTGTTTATGAACTTCCTTTGAAACTATGAATGTCGCAGCATCATGGCAGTTGTGAACTGTGAACTTATGAACAACCGCAGAGGCTCTGCAAGATTTGTCCTGCCTATGTCCCTCCACTCTGCACTTCACCAGCCAAAAGGGAGGTTCAGAGGGGCAGGCCCGTCCCTGTGACACCCAGTTTTGGCCTGCACAAGGCTTATATATTTGTTATTCTAAATATGTAATGATTTTATTCCAAGATACATAAGACTTTGTTTGTGCCTCATTACTTACCTTTTCAGAGTGATTGAGCATGTCTTGAGCCTTTTTTCTTTCTTCTTCTACTCGCTCAAGATTGTTTTTCACACCTTTGATTTCTTCTTGTAAAGATGTAATCCGAGCTACAGAATTAATTAAATATATTTAACTGTATCTATGACTCCAGATGGACAAGAATTGTTTACCTACATAAACTCTTCACATATATCAAAGATAATTCATTAAGAAAATAAAGTATATTTAAAGTCTTAGATCTATGTGTTCAACTTTCATTAAAGTATTAATTAAACTGAAAATGTGTATTTTCATATGGGTACACAACTATGCAAATAAATTGAAAAGGAAGTGTATGCAAGAAAGGCTAAGTGACCACATTTAATTAAAATGGCAGATATGGAATATTCACCTTTGCAAAAAAATGCTAGTCTTTATTGATTTGAAGAATTTATATTTACTGATGCAGATAGATTATGTCCACAAATTTCCCAACACATTTGTAGAGTAGCACAAGTAAAAGGCTTTTTGGGAAAGACATTAAGTGACCTATACATTCCTCAGAAAACTATTTTAACCCACCATCTATTGTTCACCCTCAGTAAACAGTATTTATGATGAATATTTAATAGCTGTAAAAAATAAAATCATAAGATTTAAATCCTGTTCAAAAGTAGATTTTCTTAACTATTTGCACAAGATAAAGAGAACCAAGAATAATTAAGGCAGAATAAGAGAGAAAATATTTTATTCTCACACTATGATCATTATTTGTGGAAATACTATTTTTTGTGAACATTCTTTTTATGTTGTGAAATATATAACATAATATTATATAACATAACACAACACAACAAACACAATATATTATATTATATATTATATTCTCATATATATACACACATATACACACACACACACACACACACACACACACACATATATACATATATACATATGTGGATCTTTGGTTATTCGGGTTTTCTCCCGCGTAAGATTGGAAGTATCTAGGCAACGTTTCGATGAAGTCTCATTCATCATCTTCAGGCTTCTGTCTTCAGCTCTGTGCTTCTCAGAGTGATGTGAGCTTGCAGCTGCTTCTTCCTTTTAACTACTAGTGGGGGTGTGACTTGATTGGGTGGGGGCTTGGCTGTGTTCTGATTGGGTGGGGGTGTGTTCTCATTGGTTGGGGGTTTGGCTGTTTTCTGATTGGTTGGGGGGTTGGCCATGTTCTGATTGGCTGGAGGTGTGTTCTGTTCAGGTGGGGGCTTGGTTGTGCTCAGGTTGGTCTTAGTTACTGGGGGATTTGAGCTGGTGAGCTGTGATCTTGCTGTTTGGCTTCGAGTTCGTGGTCGTGCTGCATCTTCATGGTGGGGGTCAGTTCGCTTCATGTATGGCTCAGAGGGGTTTGAAGTGGGTAGTGATGCAGCTGCAGTGCGGCTTCTGGTCTGTGGTCGTGTCTCATCTTCTGTGTGGGTGTGAGTCTGCTTTTTACGTGGAAGTGTGGTGGTGGCATCTTGTGTGGCCCTCGTGGGTGTGGGTCTGGTGTCATTCATCATGTTAAGTACTCGTCTGTTCATGAGGGCGGGTTTCCAAATGGCTGGTAAGCGGGAGGTGGCATCTCTTTTATTCATGCTGTGTGGGCGTTTTTCTATCTCTATGGCTTCTCTGATTATTCTGTTGTTGAAGTGTTCGGTTTTGGCGATAGTTCTGGTATTTTTAAAGTCAATCTCATGTCCTGTGGCTTTGAGGTGTTGGACCAGGGAAGAGGTCGGTTCTTCTTTTTTGACTGAGTTCTTATGTTCTTCAACGCATGCACTTATTTTTCTGTTAGTTTGTCCAATGTATGTGGTGGGGCAGGGAGAACACACCCCCACCCAATCAGAACACAGCCAAGCCCCCACCCAATCAAGTCACACCCCCACTAGCAGTTAAAAGGAAGAAGCAGCTGCAAGCTCACATCACTCTGAGAAGCACAGAGCTGAAGACAGAAGCCTGAAGATGATGAATGAGACTTCATCGAAACGTTGCCTAGATACTTCCAATCTTACGTGGGAGAAAACCCGAATAACCAAAGATCCACATACAAATACCCGCGAGAACCTCAGAAAACAAATATATACATATATATACATACACACACACACACACACACACACAAACATACAAACATACATACATACATATATATTTGTTTTCTTAAGTTTTCGCGGGTACTTACATGTATGGCATATATATATATATATGTATGTATGTATGTAGGTCTAGGTGTGTTCGGGTCTTTTCCCGTGTAAGATTAAGAATATCTTGGCGACGTTTCAGCGAGGTCCCACTTGCCATCCTCAGGCTGGTGCTTTCAGCTTCGTGCCAGTGCAAGCAGTGTGTGATCGGAGCTGCCATCTCTCTATAAATACTGGTGGTGAGGGCTGGTGTGCTGGGCTGGTTGGCTGCGCTGCTGCCTCTTGATTGGTTGATGGAATTGATGTTGGTATAATGGCCTGTGTAATGGCCTTGTGAGTTTTGTTGTGGAGATATAAAACTCACAAGGCCATCACACAGCCCATTATACCAACATTGTCTGTAAAAGTCTGACTCACAGACGAACACAATACAGAAGCCTGATGATGGCAGATGAGATTCTGCCAAAATGTTGCTACAACTTTAAAAGCACAACTATAATGACGTGGGAAAATACCCGAACAAAGTTGAATACCATACATGTAAGTACCCGCGAAAACTTAAGAATATATATGTGTGTATATATATATGTGTGTGTGTGTGTGTGTGTGTGTGTGTGTGTGTGTGTGTGTGTGGCATTCAGCTTTGTTTGGGTATTTTCCCACGTCATAGTAGTTGTGCTTTTAAAGTTGTAGCAACGTTTCGGCAGAATCTCATCTGCCATCATCAGGCTTCTGTATAGTGTTCATCTGTAAGTACCCGCAAAAACTTAAGAAAACAAATATATATATATATATATATATGTATGTATGTATGTATGTATGTATGTATGTATGTATGTATGTTTTCTTAAGTTTTCGCGGGTACTTACATGTATGGCCTTCAGATCCAACACACGATCATACCCAGAGAGAAATCTTCCAGATGCCCCAAACTATACGGCCTCCCAAAAATACACAAAGAAGGCATACCTCTCAGACCCATAGTCAGCTCCAGAGGAGCACCACTACAAAACCTAGCTAAACACCTAGCAAAAGAGCTACAGCCCCATGCTGAAACAGCAGCTTCTCATGTAAAAAACTCATACCACTTCTTGGAAATGATCAAAGATCTACACGTGGAGCAAGAAGATCTGCTTGTAAGTTTTGACGTGGTTTCACTATTCACTCAAGTCCCGATAAAAGAGACCCTTGAAATCATCAAAAATAAATACCAACCAGCTAACCACCTCATGGAACTAACAGAACACTGCTTAACCAACACATATTTCATATACAAAGGACAAAGATACAAACAAATAGAAGGAGCTCCCATGGGATCACCACTGTCACCTGTCATTGCAAACCTGTTCATGGAAGAATTCGAATCCAGAGCCCTGGCCAATGCCATCCTCAAACTCAAACTATGGTTAAGATACATCGATGACACATTCGTGATTTGGCCCCATGGACAAGAAAACCTAAACAATTTCCTAACACACCTAAACAGCGCACACCCCAAAATCAAGTTCACCATGGAAACAGAAACAAACAAACAACTACCATTCCTAGATGTACTAATCTACAAAAAAACAGATGGCACACTAGGACACACCATATACCAGAAGAAAACACACACCAACCGCTACCTCAACGCCCAATCCCACCACCACCCAGCACAGATAAACTCCGTGGCTAAAACACTAATTACTAGAACCAAACGCCTGGCAGACAAGACACACATTAAGACTGAACTATGCACCCTGACTAAAGTACTGACAGCCAACGGCTTCCACAAAAGCAAAATCACCAACTTGATCCACAAAAACACACTGAGACATAATAGAGACCCAGAAGATGAACAGACCCATGGAACAGCTGTCCTGCCCTACATAAGAGGCACTACAGACAAAATTAGTAAGATACTATACAGACACCACATCAAGACTGCCTTCAAAACAGACAGAAAAATAGCAGCCATCCTCAGAAACCCCAAAGACAAAATTGACCTGGAAAACCAAGGCATATACGAAGTCCCCTGTGCATCATGCCCGGCCACATACATTGGACAGACCAATAGAAGAATAAGCACCCGCCTGGATGAACACAAAAATGCAGTCAAAAAGCTGGAACACACTTCCTCACTAGTCCAACACATGGAAGCCACAGGTCATAGCATCAACTTCAATGGCACCAAAACCCTAGCCACTATAGAAAACCCTATTCACAGAATCATCAGAGAAGCCATAGAGATTGAAAAAAGACCAGAAAGCATGAACAGAAGAGATGATTCCACCAGGCTGTCAATCATTTGGAAGCCTGCACTCACAAACAAAAAAATCTCCACACCACAAGCCAGGCAAACACCTGGGCACAAACAGATCCCCCCTGATACCTCCAGCTCAAACACATCCCAACCAGGCACCCAGATGAAACCCAGCTTCCTAACTAATGATAGCCGTCCATTTACCCGAAGCCAAGCTGCACTAAAGGCCTCCAATAAAGTAACACAATGCTGCCAGCCAATCAAGATACAAAAAGAGCCAAAAAACAGACAGAAGGTATTAGAGACACCAATCAAGCAGAACACAGCAAACTCCGAGACCAATAAACACAGACCAAGACTCCCAACCAATCAGGATGAAGAAAAAACCATTCTGGCACAGCAATAGGCTGCCCCAAATTTAAATCTGAAACCACTGTAAAAGTCTGATTCACAGATGGACACAATACAGAAGCCTGATGATGGCAGATGAGATTCTGCTGAAACGTTGCTACAACTTTAAAAGCACCACTACTATGACGTGGGAAAATACCCGAACAAAGCTGAAGGCCATACA